CACAAACTGCAGCGCAGGAAGTTCCACCTCAGCATGAGGAGAAACTTTTTCACTGTGAGGGTGATGGAGCACTGGAACGGGCTTCCCAGAGCGGTTGTGGAGTCTCCTTCTGTGGAGACCTTCAAAACTGAACTGGACGCGTTCCTGTGCAACCTGCCCTGGATGATCCTGCCTTGGCAGGGGGGTTGGACCAGATGATCTTCAGGGATCCCCTCCCCTTCCAACTCCTACCATTGTGTGATTCTGTGACTGAGATGGACATCTTGGGGTGGGGAGAAAAGATTAAATTCTCTGGATCAGAGAAGGTTTAATAGGAACAGGACTGAGAAGAAGAATTTTAGAGAAAGTTTTATATTGTTCTTCTGTAATTCTTCTGTTTGAAAAAAAATCAATTCTCTTTGGTTCAAAAATACCTCAGAGTTGAGAGTAAATTATCTGGGAAATGTGACAATGAGCACTGGTTACTTAAGAGAAGGTGCATTTCTTGAAGAACTTGCCAGTCTGTAAGATCACAGTTTAACATTTTATCTAGACCTTTTGTTGGTGCAGCAGTTGAGAGGCAATTAAAAAGCTTGTTTCTTGACTTTTTGCAGTAACAGAATCAACAGAATCAGCCCCTACTAAAGTGGAAGAAAACAACACCGAAATGCAGTCTGAAGCAGGTTGGTTCTTTTTCCAAACACATTGATAAAATCTACTTCGTAGCAAGCTAGAATAATTCATGGTAATAAATTACTATACTATAGATGTGTCATAAGTATAGAATTATTTTTAACACTTCAGATCAATTAGCTTTTCCTCTGAAGTACAAATATGGCTTTCAAAAATAAAAATGTTTTATCTTTACTGTCTACAGATGCAAAATATATTGTACTGGTCTCTGTGCTTTACATTTAATACACTGAACACGATCCCTGTTTTCCCTCCTCCCCCACAAACTGTAGACAAGAATAAGCCAGAACTTCTGTGATTTTTGTATACCTCATAACAAGCCTTTCAAAAGCTAAAGCCCAGTCTTGTTTTCAGAACCCTGCCTTGTGCTGCCCTTGACCTGCATAACCTAAGGGTAGGAGCAAATCTGTGCCTGCCTTTTGGTTTGCAGCTGAACAGCCTTTGAAAACACAAGCTGTAAATATAAACTGTATGCATCAATAGTTGTTTATACATTAAATTGAATCTTTTCTTGGGTGCTATGGAAAAATGTGATATATAGAAGTATAGCTGTTTAAAATACAATTCTTTAGCTACTGACCATAATACTTTTTTAATTTATGTACTTTTTACTGTTAAGTACTGTTGTTTGTAAGCATAACACTGTAGGAGTCAGGTACAAGATACAGCATCTAGGAGTCTTCTAAAATTTAGAATTTTTATTCTAAAGTCTTTTAGAATAATCAGTGAAGCCTGGAAAAATCAATCTTCAATGTATTTCACTAAGAATGAAATATATAAACACTAAGCATGTGAAGTGCCACTGGCTTTGTATGAGGCTAAACACTCAATTTCTGTGCTAGTTGACAGGAGCTCTTAAGTAATTTTCCAGCTATTTTATTTGGGATGCCAATCAAATTGGTTGGAGTGGTAAAACACAAATGTACCCCCAACAAGGGTTGAAGAACTCACTGGCCATCCTGTGTCTCTGACAAAAAGTGGTGGGGAAAAAAAACAAAACAGTACAAAACAAAACCAGTAATGAGTAAATTTGCTCTTGGTTTCTGTTTAGGGCAATTTAGGTGAATTGTCAGAAAAGATCTTTCATAGAAATAATGTGTAACTTAGTAAATGAGAAGTATGAACCTATACTCAGGTTGAAGATGTAATGATGCTGTAACCTTTCCTTTTCCTCATTGTAGCAGATGGAGGGTAGTCACTTCTAAGTGAATGGCTCTTAATGATGTTTATTAGTACTTAGTTTTCTGTGTTGAAAGCTGTGTTTATCTACATGTGATGGGTCTAAGAGGATGAGCAATGTTATCATACTATGATTTAAAATCAAAGTTTTTTGTTTTCTTGAGCTTGTTTCTATCTTAAGATTGTAGATCCATGCTAAAATTTCTGCATTTCCCATCGCTGTGATGTCCAAATGCTGCATAGATAAACAGCCCTGAGTTTCATAGAAATGCCTTGTTTGCTTTCCCATAGATGTAGGAACCTCTGCTTGAGGCATTTGAGTTTTGTAATTAAATATTTTAATTTAAGCTGCAATGGAGAGAAAAACATAATCATTTTCACTGGGCTTAGAGCAGTCTGTTGAGTCCTGGGATTTATCTCTGCAGTTAGTGACAGTCTTCATTGTCTAGTTCTGCTGATGATGTCTCCATGCAATTTCCTTTGCTGATGACTTAATGCAATGCATTTCTTTTAAATGTAGAGACAAGTCACATAGCACAGCTTCATTGCCGTTTTTTTCTTTTTTCTGATGGGATACTGCTGCTCTCTGGTGGCATCTCTCAAACTGTCCTGAGGCCTATTTATAAAGGGGCCTTTTAGCAACGCCCGTCATGCTGTGAGAATCAATATTCACTTGCAGCAAAATAACTGCAGTGCACTTGTCCTATTCCTAGTCTGAAAGTTATGCAGATTTGGATATTGTTTTAAATAGATAAAATAGTTCAATATCTCTTTAATTGTTAAATGGGACATAATTCTATCTTTACATAAACTCAGTAGTTCTTTCTGTTTGGATTAATACTGCTTTGGTTGTCTGGCTTGTTGGAAGCATTGTGAGTTTTTGTTCATCTGTGACTGGCATTCCCAAAGGAGTTCTGTTATGCATTGCTACTTTGGCAAGTGTAATGTTACCTTCTGCCCTATAATGAACCACTGCAAATGTTCAATAAATGTTATTTGGTGCCCAAGCAATGCATAGATAGACATCAAGTGGAACTATGCTATATAATTTGAAATAGGCAACATTTCTGTTGTGAAATTACAGTTTTCCCATGGTATAAAAACAGACTGTACCGACAAAAGTAGTTTGAAGGCATACATCTACTAGAATAAACATTTAGAGAGAATTAATTTGAACATTTGGCATTATAAACATCATTTTTTTTTCTCAATTATGATTTTTGTTCCCCTTCCCAAAGCTTAATTAATGTTTTTTTTTCCTAGGGAAGAGGGTGAAATGGTGCTTTAAAAACAAAAAAAAATTAAAAACTACAGAGTTTTAAATAATTTCTTATCAAACAAATCCCTTGATATAATCTTCTTGGTTACAGTATCTTATAAGAACTGTTTTAAGGACTACAGAGTCAAGAGCAAAAATACTGACAGTTTTGCATGGTGTAGTCAGGCTTTCGGGCTTTGGTGTTTACAAGCAAAGGGCTCACAGAGCGGTGTCAGCCTGTTGTCTCTTGTGCAAAGAGTATTTGTACTGACTCAGAGGAGACTTGCAGTTGGTATGTCAGTCATCTTACCGGGTATGTCTTCACAACTCCATCCTGTAGGTTTTAACAATGTTCTCTTAGGACTAATTAAAACTCAGTGACTAATGTTCGTAGAGAATAGATTATACACAGACAAAAATGAAACTTCTATTCTATATGTACTTACATATAGAGTATATAAGCAATAAGGCAACAGTATATAGCCAGTACTGCCATAAGTACTTCCTAGCAATATGTTGCATACAAAAACTCTAAGGGCTTGGAAACAAGTCATAAAATATGAGCTGTTCCTCTGGGGAGTTAACTGCATGATGTATGTGGAGGATGGCTGTTAAATGTTGTTTATGTGTCAAACACATTCAGACTTTATTCTGTTGCAGCAGTGGTGGCCCAGGTCTGGAATGAGATCCAGTAACAGATGAAAACCCACCAGTTGAAATTAACTCCAAGCAAGGCCAATACTATGCTGAGAAATGAAGTAGAGCGCTTTTTACAAAGTGTGAGGGTTGTTTTTGTTTGGCATTACATATTTGTAGGTCAGGTTAGTCCACTCCAAAGCTTGGAAGTGTTCCTAGCACAGCAAAGGACAGACTTTCATGTAGCAGGAAGCCCAGCCATGTCTCCAACCAGCCCAAGCTAAGTTTCCATCCCATCAGTATAGATACAACTCAGCCTTTGTTATACTTGTCTCCAGAGGAGAAGTGACAGAGATGACAGCCGGGCCTGGGCAGAAAGCCACAGCAACTCCAGAATGCTTCCATTTGTCTTGTCAGAAGTCCTGGTGGTGCTTTGTTGTATAATTCAGGTTTCCACAGAGTATTCAGACTGAAAGTCTGTCTTAATCTTTGTTCCTGTGGCTGGTGATGGCTTAGGCCCATGGCATAATGGTTCTCATCAGTGAAGAAGGCGGTGTTCTTGAGAGCTGCTTACGGGCTATGGAATAGTCTCAGTGGGTTTGATGTTGCCCACGTTCTGTTACGCTTTGTTTGTGCCTTGTGACATATGTATTTATCTTTGCATACGTTGTACTGCTATCACTAAAATAATTTCTCAGAGTATTAGGCTGTTGGCATGACTTTTTCCTAGATGGAGATGAAAGAGGTTGGTGGAGGGGGGGAAGGAAGAGAAGGCCCTTACTAATAGTATATTCTTAAGGAGTCCCTATAATAGCAGTGTGGCATATTGGTATGTACCTGTGCTTAAATCACATGGAAGGAGCTCACCTGCATCACTTTGCAGTCTTGCCCCTCTTTC